GCTCTGCTTTGCTCTCTGTCTCCCCCTACTCCACCCTCTTTCATCCCCAGACCTGATCCTTTTGTCCCTCCCCTGCTTCCTTCTAATAAAGCTGTCTGTTACTAAGCAACTGGCTTCTGTTGTGACCATGACCTTTCTGCCAGTAACCATGGCAACCACCAGCGCAATTTATGAGCCATTTCAGCCTCTCCTTCATCAGACACAGGCCTTGGATCTGAACCACATCAGCAATATTAGCATGATTGAGATGGGCATTCCTTTTACCAACTTCTCTTGGGGCTTGAGCTTGTCTTAGTGAGTCAGTGAAAAACAAAAGCACTTACAAAAGAAGCTTCCCTCACCTTCAGAGTCTTTCACTCATAGACCTTGCTTTTTCCTTCCCTGACACAAGCAGAGCTTCAGATAACTCAGGCTGTGACTCTGTTCCTCTGCTAGGTGCCTTTGGAGATAGCTTTTTTTTTTTTAACCACTGAATCTGCCTCAAACTCTAACAGCTCTCCTCAGTTATTGCACCTTCCAAGGAGGTATCTGTCACTTCTCCACTTCTTCAGAGAGTCTTTCTCCCTGACAGTTCCCAGTTTGGTCTCAATTTATCCCCTCGGCCACGAAACAGATTCTAACACCCCAGTGGTGGTTTCCCCTGCTACAGAATATAGGGGCTTTTTGTCTGTTTCTATTTTCAGGTTCAGTGAGGTGTGTTCATAAATAAATCTTAGTAAGGTAGGATTTTCTTCCCTAAGCTCCCATTAGGACAGATGTTTTGCCTCATCAGGCATTTCTCCTGACACAGTCCTCCAGTGGGTTGCATTTAGTTGTCTATGCATTCACAGACAGAGCTTATGCCAGAGACAGTCACCCCTTAGGGCTATACTCCTTCATCTCATGTGTTGTCAGTCAAAACAAATCTTTTCTTAGATTTGTTTTTGCAGTTGTGGAAACAGCATAGCCCCATCTATCAACCTGGGTCTTGCAGGAAGCTGACAACTGTGCTGGTCCCACAGGCTTTGCCTTTGTTTGTTAGCAGTTTTCCACTGGTTCCTGCACCTTCCTGCCTCAGCTCTATGCTCCAGGAAGTTGTTCACAACTGCAGGAACTCTAGTATCCCCTGAATGCACTCAAACTCAGAGGTATTGGCTAGTTGCTTCTTAGTTGTTGGTTAAAATCAAGGATACAATGCAAACAGAGTTTTGCATTGCTTTGGGGGTCTTTGCCCTATGGTAATTAGGAGCACCCTTTCATGCTATTAGAAGCTCACTCAGAAACCAAACCCTTGATGCCTGATCTATGCTGCAGCTTAAATGCTTGGCTTAGATTTTCCCATGTAAATATTTCCTTTCCCTATTGGGTTTTCTGTGATTCTTCACCCACACCCTCCCAAGCACCCTTTTACCTGCTTGAAGGGAGAGCGTAAAAGTTAGGCTTTTGGGAACTCAAGTACTGCCTCCCTCAAGTCAGGGAGGACTTTTTAAAACTTAAAGAGATTTTGCTATTCTAAGAGGTTTGTTGTTTTCCCTTAGAGTGAATCACAGATGATTCCCATACTAATATCTTCAGGTGATTCTAATTTCTGTCCTTCTTAGTAAGTTCTAAAAGGCTTTTAAGAGAGAGAATAATTAAATTACAATTTTGCATCGGGTCTACTTTAAATTTCTTGGCTTCTGAAGCAAAAAAATTAGGGGTGGGAATTGTATCAGCAACTCTGATGGAGATTTCAAAAATTACCACAGGATTCCATTCACATTTCTGGTAATGAGATCACTCTCCTTATTGGTTCTTATCCATGCTTAATTTGAATGAATACTTGTAGTTGGAGTTTTCTTCAGTCACACCTGGGCCCACAGCTGCTCTGATACAAGTAAACAGATGAACACTTATATTACATATAAACTGTTTGGCCTTGGCAGACTCCTTGCCATCCAGTTTTTATATCTTAAAATAACCCATTTCTATCAATGTATAAGTTGCCACATGCTTTGTGGCTCCAGTACTTTAACATCATGCTTCTTGCCTCTGTCTGGTGATGACTCACTCAGCCTTCCTGTTCCCAGAAATTTCTTCTCTGCTTTTACCACCTTACTATACTTCCTTTCTGGCTACTGGCCAATCAGCATTTTATTTATCAACCAAAACAGAGCAACACTTTCACAGCATATGGAGCGATTGATATACATAG